GCAATTAAAATTTATTTTTCATATAATGTTTGATTTATACCAATAAATTGCAAAATTTCTTCCCAACTCATCCTCTAATAACAAAACATCTGTTCATTCCTTCAAAATAATAGGTTTTGATTCACAAGCTTAGCCTTCAATTGAAAATAGTTTTTCTTGAAATCAATTTCAATACCAAAATCTATAATATTTTCATCGTAATGCATATTATCTCAACATATATTTATATTTATTGAAACAAACATTTTTTACGAGAATAATCGGGAAATTTTTCATAAGTTTACTCTTTATTAATGTATTAATTTTCATAACAAGAATAACTGCTTTGCAAAAGAGTAATAAAACTTTTTATTTTTCTCTAATTTTTCAAATGATTTTTCATGTAATTTTACATTTTATAAAAATCTTATTTATTTCTATTTATTTAAATCATAATTATATTGAAATTACAATAAAAAACTTTTCAGAATAAGTAAAATCTTACATTTGATTCATTTTCGAGTGGATTGAGACGATTCGGTTCATTCTTCTTATACAACGAGACCTCAAATGTGGGATCACTTCCAGAGGAATTGAATTTGTAATTAACCTTCAATTGTGAAACAAAAACATTTTTAGATAAGTTTTATAAACACTTTCATTGAAAGAGTCAATTGTTTGTTGAATTCATTTGCATATTTGTCTATTCATTATCTCTTCAATCATTTCAATTTGAAACCCATTTTTGATGATTCTTGAGACCAATTGAATGGTTTGGAAATGATTTAGAAAATCGACTCAACAGTATGTTTATGAATCATGTTTTGTGGTCAACTATTTTCTATGTCAAGTGCTTTACTGACAGTCAATATGAATATTTAAACCAATTTCAAAACATTCAAATGAGTTATTAATTCAAAACCAATTTTCGTATGCAATGAATGGAAATATTCAAAAGTTTTCAAAAGTTTTCAAAACTAACTCAAAAGTAATTAATTAGTTTTTAATCAATTCATTAAGTGTCTGAAGAAAATTTTCGAGAAGTTTCATTCTTGCAGTACTTTTCACTCATAAAGGATTAGTTTCAATGTGTAATTCATTATATGGAACACATCATGTCAATAGACAACTGATTAAGTAGTGGTACTATATGTCAATAGAAAATAAGGAAAGGTAGCATTGATTGGAAAGTCTCCTAAATAAAGTTCAAGTTAAAACACATACTAATTATATTGTATTGATATTAGATTGTTTAAATTATATACTCATTGAATCAACAAAAAAGTTAATTTGATTGATAATTACCAGTAATAGGGTTAACATAATTAGAAATAAATGTGAAAACTTACGACAATCTTGGACAGTTTAGCCTCGTTGAAATACGTGTATTTGCCATAAATGAGTCCATTCTCATCAAATGCCTCCTCGCGGGCCGCAGTCTTATCACCGCTTAAGAAGTTTATAAAGTAAACAGATTTTCCCACTCTTAGTGAGACGTGTCCAGTGAACTCCTCCTCGCCGTTTATGGACTCGTAATTTGGCTAAAATTTAATGCGTTAATCAAAATAAAAAACTTCAGAAAACTTACTTCAGTAGTAGCTAGTGTAGCATTAGCGTTATTAGCGTTATTAGAGTTATCCTGATCACTTCGACCTTCAGTTTCTTTTGCCGCCGATTCAGGGGTTTCAGCGTTTTCTGGGACCACTTTGAATGATATGTCGGGTTCATCGGCAGTCAATTCAAACTTATATTGGAGCTGAAGAACCAAATTTTAATTGAATCCAAGTATTAATACAAAACTTATAAAATACTTGTTTCGATGAGTTATCGGCGCCAATGAAGCTGAATGTGCCGACAGTTACACCATTTTCATCGGTATACTCTTTGCGGACATTCTTGCCTTCATTGGTCTCTATATGAAAGGCCCATCTCTTTGATCCGACTTTGACTCTGGTTTCGGCACTTAATGCCAAACCAATTAACGAAAGCAATATAATCTACGAAAACAATAAAAACATTTATTACTATTGTTTGGAAACTTTTACAATAGTTTTAAAAGCTGCAGTTAACTGGAACTGGACGTACACTTCTCATGTCTTATCGCCAAACCGTTATATATCTGACTGTTTAGTCAAATGAAAATCTTTGGTCTCAAACTCAAGCACTAGTTGTATGTGTGAGGAGTGGAAAGAAAGTCCTCTTTTTCTTTTCAATTCAATGCAAAACTAGTCCTCAATTTGTAGTCAGTCTTCAAAACAATTTGATGCTCTTATCCACCCGTAAAGCGAGTGAAAGTGAGAGAGTGTTTGAGTGAGAGTGCGGGAGAGAGAGAGAGAGTGCGGGAGAGAGAGAGAGAGAGACGATTCAATGCCATGAAAGACGAACTCTATTCTAAAGACATATTATTTGAAGTCATGATTTAATAACACGTCTCTAACTATGAGTTCTTTAGAAAAGAGAAAAATAAAGTTTCAATTATTAGCAAAGAAGAAGATCACACCTGAAGGCGCAGTCAGTACTTACTTATTGACACCACTCTAACCACTCTATCCTTGAATTCAAACCATCCTATCCTTGACTTTTTTGCAGACAAAATAGAAAGTAAATCATAAGTTATATAATAAATGACTCAATGGATCCCAAGATTTTTATATACATTTGACGATATACTCTGTATTTTACTGATTTGTGATTGAAATTTGCTTATTATGTATTAATCTATTTATATATTTTTGGGTAAACCAATCAAATTATAGTTATTATCTCCAAAAGCCCTTTCCATTTATAGTAAAGTGCATATAATAAGTGTATGAGATCTGAATAAAGGGTTTCATTTATTTTAGCATTTATTCAATCTTTATCTCAAGAGTTACTCATCTGAATAACAATTAGTTTTTTTGTGAAAATTATAGTGAAATGCAATCTAGTAATTACCTATTTGTTAATTAATAGTAGTTTTCTGTGAATTCAATTATGTTTTCTATAAAATTCAATTTATATTCAAATAAAGTAATTGTGTTTAGAAATGTGAAAACAATTGTAAACTACGGATATTATTATTAATGCATTTATGTTGGACTTTGAGAATTGAATATTTGCAACGAATTATAAATTTTTAGTTTTCATTGACTTTTCGTTTATAGTATCAAAAATCATTATAAATTCCTTATGACTTGAAGTAGAAGTAAAAATTAAAAGTTAATAAAATTGTTGTTTTTAAGTGATAAATATGAAATACATGTAAACACTTTTAGTGGCGATTTTGTGAGCAAATGCATTGGTCTCACGTTCGCACGAAACTACTAAAACATTTCTGACATCAAAAAACATGTTTTTCTTATTATTCTCTATTGTAAATCTAGTAATTACCTATTTGTTAATTAATAGTAGTTTTCTGTGAATTCAATTATGTTTTCTATAAAATTCAATTTATATTCAAATAAAGTAATTGTGTTTAGAAATGTGAAAACAATTGTAAACTAAACTACGGATATTATTATCAATGCATTTATGTTGGACTTTGAGAATTGAATATTTGCAACGAATTATAAATTTTTAGTTTTCATTGACTTTTCGTTTATAGTATCAAAAATCATTTAAATTCCTTATGACTTGAAGTAAAAGTAAAAATTAAAAGTTAATAAAATTGTTGTTTTTAAGTGATAAATATGAAATACATGTAAACACTTTTAGTGGCGATTTGTGGGCAAATGCATTGGTCTCACGTTCGCACGAAACTACTAAAACATTTCTGACATCAAAAAACATGTTTTTCTTATTATTCTCTATTGTCTTAGTTTTTTAAAAGTCGTGTCCACTAAATTACATTTAAATTAACAACTCTTTGCAATTGGATTTCCAAAGCAAACAAATAAAAGGTAAGAGTTAATGCTCTTCGCAACTCTCTCTCTCTCTCTCTCTCTCTCTCTCTCCACTCTTAAGCTTCAATTATCTGATTATTCTTGACTCCAATTATTCCCACTATTGATAGCTTAATAAACAATGTATTTCCTATGGATTACATGTACTGTACATCCAATGAGTCATTCCCTAAAAATATAATAGCAATTAAAATTTATTTTTCATATAATGTTTGATTTATACCAATAAATTGCAAAATTTCTTCCCAACTCATCCTCTAATAACAAAACATCTGTTCATTCCTTCAAAATAATAGGTTTTGATTCACAAACTTAGCCTTCAATTGAAAATAGTTTTTCTTGAAATCAATTTCAATACCAAAATCTATAATATTTTCATAGTAATGCATATTATCTCAACATATATTTATTGAAACAAACATTTTTTACGAGAATAATCGGGAAATTTTTCATAAGTTTACTCTTTATTAATGTATTAATTTTCATAACAAGAATAACTGCTTTGCAAAAGAGTAATAAAACTTTTATTTTTCTCTAATTTTTCAAATGATTTTTCATGTAATTTTACATTTTATAAATTTAAATCTTATTTATTTCTATTTATTTAAATCATAATTATATTGAAATTACAATAAAAAACTTTTCAGAATAAGAAAAATCTTACATTTGATTCATTTTCGAGTGGATTGAGACGATTCGGTTCATTCTTCTTATACAACGAGACCTCAAATGTGGGATCACTTCCAGAGGAATTGAATTTGTAATTAACCTTCAATTGTGAAACAAAAACATTTTTAGATAAGTTTTATAAACACTTTTATTGAAAGAGTCAATTGTTTGTTGAATTCATTTGCATATTTGTCTATTCATTATCTCTTCAATCATTTCAATTTTAAACCCATTTTTGATGATTCTTGAGACCAATTGAATGGTTTGGAAATGATTTAGAAAATTGACTCAACAGTATGTTTATGAATCATGTTTTGTGGTCAACTATTTTCTATGTCAAGTGCTTTACTGACAGTTAATATGAATATTTAAACCAATTTCAAAACATTTAAATGAGTTATTAATTCAAAACCAATTTTCGTATGCAATGAATGGAAATATTCAACAGTTTTCAAAACTAACTCAAAAGTAATTAATTAGTTTTTAATCAATTCATTAAGTGTCTGAAGAAAATTTTCGAGAAGTTTAATTCTTGCAGTACTTTTCACTCATAAAGGATTAGTTTCAATGTGTAATTCATTATATGGAACACATTATGTCAATAGACAACTGATTAAGTAGTGGTACTATATGTCAATAGAAAATAAGGAAAGGTAGCATTGATTGGAAAGTTTCCTAAATAAAGTTCAAGTTAAAACACATACTAATTATATTGTATTGATATTAGATTGTTTAAATTATATACTCATTGAATCAACAAAAAGATAATTGATTGATAATTATCAGTAATTAACAGTAGTTAACATAATTAGAAATAAATGTGAAAACTTACGACAATCTTGGACAGTTTAGCCTCGTTGAAATACGTGTATTTGCCATAAATGAGTCCATTCTCATCAAATGCCTCCTCGCGGGCCGCACTCTTATCACCGCTTAAGAAGTTTATGAAGTAAACAGATTTTCCCACTCTTAGTGAGACGTGTCCAGTGAACTCCTCCTCACCGTTTATGGACTCGTAATTTGGCTAAAATTTAATGCGTTAATCAAAATAAAAAACTTCAGAAAACTTACTTCAGTTGTAGCTAGAGTAGCATTAGCGTTATTAGCGTTATTAGAGTTATCCTGATCACTTCGACCTTCAGTTTCTTTTGCCGCCGATTCAGGGGTTTCAGCGTTTTCTGGGACCACTTTGAATGATATGTCGGGTTCATCGG